CGTAAAACACAAAAAATCCCGAAGGGACCGCGTACAATAGGTAGATTTTGTGACATTAATTGTGCAGTCATACTTCGATACTCTTCTGCGTTACGTGTTATCACTGACATTCTGTGGAGCAGTTGTTGTGACTGTTATGGACCAAAAGACACTCGTTAAGCGCAGATGAAGTTGTAAGGTGCGTAGAACAGTGTATATTTTAACACCAAGTGAGTTTTGCCAGACACGACTCCACAAATCTTTGATTGGAAACCTTGCCAGACACTTTTTGATTTTCTCTTTCTTTGACCGGACTAAGACTCGGCCACAAACAAGCAAGACGAGTGAATGATTCAACGGCTAGCTTATCACTAGCAAAACGATGGACGATTACAGAAATTCGCTGATCACCAAATTCTGTGCTGAATTATTCCCTGCTCACAGATGTCCTTCCGTTATAAAGTTTAAAATAAGACTAGAATGCGCGAGCGTGATTTGATCAGACGTCCTTTTAATTTCTAAGGCTCCCTTTCCGGCAAATAAAATGAACTAAATGTAAAGAGTGAAATAGAAATAGCGAAAAATTAAACTTCTAATTAAGTGTGTTCTTATGGTTTAGAATAAACTATTCTCGAAACTGAGAATGTTTTGATCAAAGCTGTGTAATTCGAACCGAAACTGCATGGAACCTTGCGTTTCCTGAATTTATCTCACCTATTGTATGGAATATGTGTGAACATCTTCATTATGAAATCGTTATATTTCAAAGAGATACACAACGAGCAAGAATACTATTGCCCGACAATATACAGAACGGGGGCAGCTGTAGTGTCAGCTATTACTAGTGATATCCTGAATAATAAGGTCTCGGTAAGTGTTATCGGCCTGGGCCTTCTGCTCGGCTGATAACACTTACCTCGAACTTGATTATTCCGGATATTACAAAAGCCTCATTGAATAATTGTATATTATTCATTCAAAATATTTCTCCGTTTCTGATTGGCTAAAATGACACGCAAAATTCATCATAACCAGCTATTGTCCACCAAACTGGGAAGAATTTTGCGATATGTGAAAAATGACGTTAGTCGTGCAGTTAAATTGCCAGATTATTGAACCGTTAACCGAGAATACCTGTGGACGAGGTTCAGTTGTTTTGGCGGTAACTTCAAAGTGGTGGAACATTTGACTCGTTTCACGAGGAAGAAAAGGGCGAACTATTGGATCAGTAATAGAAGTGTTTCAATACGCACCTCAGATGTGGCCAAGATGTCACAAAGGTCAGGAAAGGCAGCAGAATCAGATATGAAAGGACTCATATAGACACATAGCGAGCAATGCGTTCCTGAAAACAAGTTAAGGTAATTTAGCTTCACAGAAACTGAACAGTAAAACAAAAAACAAAACAAAACATGTGTCTGAGACACATTATAACGTGCGAAGTACATCCGTTCGTTCTCTTTTTTCATTCACCGTCTTCGTTTTCGAATTTCTACCAGTAATGTAATAACGTTTTGTTCTTCATATTTTGAAATAAAAATGAAAATGTACCAGTCACTGTAATGAAGTGAGAAGGTTTTTCCTAAAGGCTCCTCGCCACTATTCTTTCTTTTTCACTTAGTAGTAGTAGTAGTAGTAGCGGTAGTGGCAGTGACAGTGGTCGTGGTAATGGCAGTGGCAATGGCAGTAGTGGTAGTGGCAGCGACAGTGGTAATGGAAGTGGTAGTGGTAGTGGTAAAAGTAGTAGTAGTATTAACGGAGCATCATGGGTAAGAAAAAATGTAGGATCCGACAAATTTTTGGTAATCACGTGACCGTCGGTAGTTAGGGAAGTACCATTAACCGTTTTAAGGATTTTCTACGAAGGAGATATTTTGAATTTTTTTTGAATTCTTGACATTGGCCACTTTCAGGACTGAAAGGATTGAAATAAGGGGATAATAATGAGAATTTTTGATTGAAAGCAGACCGAATAAAACCACCCGAACTGTTCCCGAACTGAACGTTTTGATGTTTGTTTTGCTTTAATTCCTATAAAAGGCCTCGAGATGTTCGTCTGGGAATTTGCCTTTTGTCTGTTTTTAAGTTATGCATACATATGCACATGTAAAAGCAGTAGTAGTATTAACGGAGCATCATGGGTAAGAAAAAATATACGATCCGAGAAAATTTGGTAATGACGTGACCGTCCATAGTTAGGGAAGTGTCATTAACATTTTTAAGGATTTTCTGCGAAAGATATTTCGAATTTTTGTGAATTCTTGACATTGGCCATTTTCAGTACTGAAAGAGTTAAAATAAGGGGATAAAAATTAGAATTTTTGATTAAAAGCAGACCGAATAAAACCACTCGAACTGAACGTTTTGATGTGTGTTTTGCTTTAATTCGTATGACATGCACAGGCCACGAGACGTTGGTCTGAGAATTTGCCTTTTGTCTTTTTATAAGTTATGCATACAAATGCACGTGGATAGGAAGACATTTGAAAGAAACAGTTCTCTGGAGTAAGGCTGAGTACGAACGGACGCAACATTGTTGGATGTTACATGCTGGGTCCGTTTGCACACCCTGTTGCATGTTGTTTGATGTTATTGGGTGTTGTTGCGCAAAGTTTGAAATTGGTCAAATTTTTCAGCCAACAACTTCCAACACTTCTTTTGTTCCGTGATCGCCGAAGCGCAGCGCAACAATGTTGGATCCGTTTACACAGCTCCTCCAATATTGTTGGGGCCACGCACGCTGATTACGCATGGTTTACAAAGACTTATGGGTTGTATCCTTCCCACGATGTACTGCAGGTCCCAACATTGTTGGGAGTTGTTGCATCCGTTTGCAGACCACTGCCAATACGCGCGCAACAATGTTGGGACTGGTTGGCCAACAATAATGCGCCCGTTTGCACGGTACTAAAAGTTTGACAGGTTTCAAACTTTGCGCGACAAAAGGCAAAAACATCCAACAAAATGCAACAGGGTGTGCAAGCGGACGCATCATGTAACATCCAGCAACGTTGGACTTGTTGGCCAGCAATGTTGAGCCCTTTTGCAAGGTGCTAAAAGTTTGACAGGTTTCAAACTTTGTGCAACAAAACACAACAACATCCAACAAAATACAACAGGGTGTGCAAACGGACCCAACGTGTAACATCCAACAATGTTGGGAGTTGTTGGCCAAGAATGTTGCGTCCGTTTGCACGCAGCTTAAGGGAATTTGTTAAAAGTTTTGCATACATATGCACGTGGATAGGACAACAATTGGAAACAGCTCTCTGGGAGAACATCACATGGCCTGAAATAGGAAGACAAAACTGTATATCGACGACCTGAAGTACAGAGTTCAAGCGATTTGGAACATTTATCTGCTGGATGCTGCTCTTCCAAAGGAATTTTCCACGGTAGCGGTACAAGAGATAAAGAATATTACTGGGGAAAACGCCTACTATGGGCATTCAAATTGTTACGGAATCACATATTGGTAAGTGTGAATTTTTATTTCATACTTTTTTCTTTTGTAACTGGTGAAATATATTTTGGCGCTTTTATGATTTTTATAAAAACAGTTCTTGTTTCGTTTAAAATGAGATTCAACCGGCCGAAGGTTTCTGGTCATTTTAAACCTGAATATCGTTTGATGAGTTCTGTTGATTTTGCAAGGATTTTTTTAGTCTTTACTGAATTGCAAATTAGCGATATTGCCAGCAATATAGACGCGTATGAGCGAAAACTGCAGCGGCTCTCATACTTTCAAAGGAAAACCGCTTACCAGGTGTACACTTTTCGTGACCGTGCCCTACCGATCAACACGGTAAAGAAAACAAAAACCGGCACTGAGATTTAAAATTTTGTGTAATAAATTTGTTCGGAGTGTGAAATCTTTAAATCCAAAATCGATTTTGGGGTTTAAAAAAAAAATACCTATTACATTGTTTACAGCTTTGGTGTAGGTTAATAACATGCCCTAAATGTTTACTCGTTAAAAAAATTCTCAGCAGAGTTTATATAAAAAGTAGGCATTTTTTACCATTTTAATAATAATAATAATAATAATAATAATCTTTATTGAGGATATCAATTTCACTGATAAGTGATTTACAAAAGAGTCCTCGCTATTTTGTACTGCGTATCTTCAACTAACTTTGAAGGAAGTGCGCATGAAGAGAAACACAGGACTAAATATTAACCTTTAAAAACATATTACTCGAAATAAATACGAAATTCCACATGTGTAGATTCCAATGTACCTGTACCGTAGTTAGTTCCGATTTAAGCATGCACCCCATCTGCAATACAGTTTGCCTATGTGCAACCTACAATCTTGGAGAAAAGGTGTTACGATTTTTGCACTTTCTTACCCACAGAACGCCTATCCCGCGGGATTTGGTACCGCTATTGCCTCTCCCCTTACCCCATCCAAAGTTGAATAGCGGGGATCAGAAATGATCCAGCCGGACTTCAACATTGTTTTTGTAGGGAAAAGGGGGAGTGTTTGTAGTTGCTAGTGCTTTTAAGAGCCTTATCTTGAAACTAGACATGGTGAAGTCCATTATTCTTAACATTTTTGTCCAAGATTGTAGCTTCGATCACTGACCAAACCAAAAAATGTGCTTTCAATATTAACATCTCGAGGGGTAAAAATAGTCTCATAAACGTGACCATGATAAATTCTCAAAATTACTTGTATTATGCAAATTAACACCGATTCATCTTTTTACATTCCGAAGAATTTGCCCTACAAACGAAAAGAGAGGATCGACGTGAAATCGACTAAAATTATGTAAATTCACTCTCCGCGTTTCAGAAGCGTGAGAACTTTAAAGCAAGGGTTAAGGCAATAAAATGAAAGGAAAATTCGCCACTTTAGAATCGAGAAGGAACTGGAGCCGAAATGCGTCGCGCAATTGTGTCTGGGATCGTTACTAGGGACGTGCAGGTAAGTCTCTAGCAACAGTCCCAGAAGTCATTGCGAACCTTAACCCAGTTTCCGTCGCATTTCTACAGTGGCGACACATTAACATGGCAGCTTAATAGCCAGCTTTTCTCCTAAGCGTCCCCACATAAATCCAAAGAGAAAACACGCCCTGCGGGTAAGGATGAACGTGCACGGCGAGGGCGAATTCTACATCCGCATCTTCTATTGCGTGTACTCCAGTGCTGAAGACGGCTTCAGATACAGGGGGAATTTCAGTGAATGACGTGTTGATAGGAAATCCAGACAACTGAAAACATCAAAATGATTTGATCAGAAAGGAAGTTCATCTCTGACTCATATTCTATATATTCCGCTAAATGACTGTCTAAAAAGACAAAAACAAACGAACGAAATAAGAGTCATATTTACCTTGTAGGAGGGGAGAATTTGGTCCAACTCTGCAGCGTGATTCACAGAGGTAGCTTGACTAACACTCTGTTCCATACTATGAAAGCAAAAAATAATATAAGAAATGACGAGCTCAACCTCAGTAAGAGAGAAAATACTTTAATAAAAAGAGCATTGTTGATGTTCTTGGTCTAGACAAGACGTCTGAGACTCAAAATTTAACCAAACCATGGCGATGTTTTAAGTAAAAATAATAATTAGTTCATTGAGAATGAAACTTTTACATTTAACAAGATACAGCCCAGTGTAAATTATTACGGTGCTAACCAGTAACTTGCTGGACCAGCTTAAAGGAGGTCCAAGCGTGTACTGTGATTTCCGTAGGCACCGTTGAACCCTGCCTGTTAAAACAGCCTCCTTTTAGAGACGGTGAGCAATGAAAGGCGACTGCAGTCGACGGTTTTTCGTTGGTGTTAAGTTGGGAAATAAAAAAGATTGAAAGAAATGAGCTTTTAAACACCAGGGCTAAGACTCAATCCTACTCACTTAGCCAACAGGCTCCGAAAGGCTTGTGTGCAATACCTGACAAAGAAAGAAAATTTTTCATCCTGGCGGTTATTCCCTGTTCAACGGGTGCAAGGAAGAACTGAATTGAGATCAAATAAGATCATATAATTTAAGGAAGCAATGTTAGACAAACCCTCCCTAAATACAGGTAACTGTGCCGACGAACAGAACGAATAAAATCAAAGTTAAACAGGGCTATGCTCTGGCAGCACCTGGCATCCCCTGAAACCTTACTTTTGCCCTTGGGGGACTAGGAAATCCTTTCATAGCGGAGCCTCCATTGCTATAGAAATTGGAAACTTAACGATGGGAGAAACATTTAGAGGTGGGAGAAAGGACGTGGGAGTTCAAGTCATCCGAACATCGAACATTGGGCTTGTCAATACCCATTCCAAATGCAACTGTTGCACACATAACATGGGCCCCTCCAGATTTCCAATTTTCCACACTTTGTTGTTTGGCAAATACATCCATGCCAGCATGGAAATAGACCGAATTAATACCAGCAACTTTTAAACGGTAAGCAATATCAACAGCGTCACTTCTTTCAACACAGTAGACAACCCCACACTGTCCTGTAAACTCCTTTTTAATAAGTTCCACCAAAGCATCTTTTCCATCAGATTTGTTTTCCAAAACATGGTACAATCGATTGGGACGATTTGAACATTGTCTTACGACAACAGTGTCTGCTGGCAGCCTTAAACTCTTCAGGATTGCATCCTCTGTCCGCTTGGTTGCTGTGCCAGTCATTGCTAAAATTGGCCGTCCAAATTCAGCAAGTTTCCACAGTTCAGAGTAGCTAGGACGGAAATGAAAGCCCCACATGTCAATGCAATGGGTTTCATCGATAACAAAAAAAATTTAGAAGGTCATTCGAACAGATTTTTCTAAGTAGCTCAAAAACTGTAGGTGTTAACACAGTTTCTGGTGTAACAAACAGGAAATTGTATTCTGGTGGATTGAGGTGAGCTTGTGAAATATATTCTCCTTCTCACTCTCAGCCATCTCAGACATCAAATAGCACACATTCAGTCCACGGGATCGCAGCCTCTCAACTTGGTCCAGCAACAAAGCCAAAAGTGGAAGGATAACCACAGTTATCTTTTGCTCCATGACAGCAGGTACTTGATAACAAATAGTTTTTCCACCTCCAGTGGGCATGATAAGTAGAGTGTTTTGACCTCTTAAAACACTGTGAATGGATTCTTGCTGGCAACCTCTAAACTGCTGATAGTGGAAGACCCCTCTGAGAGTATCCAAAACCTTGCCCCCTGTCAAATTGTGGTGATCAACAGGAGTAACATCCCGTAAGGAGGCAACAGTAAAGTCCCGTGGAAAAAGTACAATCTATTATTATTATTTTGTGTTTAAACTCTGTCTACAAGTACAAAAATTACACACACATACTGATAAATGCATAAAAGAAATCAATCCCTTTTGGAATTTATTTTAAGGTTACAACGACACGTGAAAAAAGAAACCTACCCTTTTGACAAAAACAGCCTCGGCCACAATTCTTGTTATTGACTGGCCACTAACGGTAACTTTTAAATGCCACGCATTAAAATGAACAGACAGACCAGGTTTGTTAACTTCAATAACAACAGGTTGAGCACCTTCCCCATACGCTTTCAGCTACCCATAGTGCATCAACATTACGCCTACCAACTTTGCACATTCTCGAGCGTCTTTTGCCACTACTTCAAGAACCCGACAGCCTTCGTATACAGTAGCAACAATGAATCGTTCGCATGAATCATTCCTCTGAAAATGCAAATTGCAGATAAGTTATTACTAGCTCATGAATATTCCAGTGCTAAGTGGACCGCGAATTTTACAAGACAATAGAAAACGCTTACCTGTTGGCGTTCTGCGGAAAGTCTTCTTGAATGTTCCTTGGTTTCTTCGCCGTGTAAATACCGAAACAACCGCCACGCTTCACGAACCTGTTTTACATTGTCAAAAACGACTCTTGCATGTTTAATTCTAAAATGCTGCGCAAGACCTTTCTCCTCAAAAAACACTTTTCTGGCGTCTCCTCTGCATTCTGTGTGCGGCCAAGGCAATTTACACCGTAAATACGCGTGATGGAGAGGCCTCTTTTGAAGATTTCTGTCTTCACTGACATCCGCCATTATTTCGTCCGCCATATTGGAAACGGGAGCTGCCAGTCGTCTCCCCTCCTCTCGCCTTCCCATCTTCCCCGCGCTTATAACCCAAGCGCTTCCCTAGTAAATAATTAATGAGTAGAGACAACTTAGAGACGACTGGGGACGAGTCAGACGATATCTGACACGTAGACAGATAATGATCTTGAATCTTGAGTTGTGTCTCTCGTCAACAGCGTAACGTTGAAATTTTAGTCAAGAAACGAAATTACCACCTTTTTATACAACCATCCGAAAGAATCTCTTGGATTTTCCTCTGCTAAACGCCCTTAAAGAAGACTTTTTGAAGCTCACTATTATCTACTTTGAGCTCTGTCGTTTCAAGTAAGATTGCGAAGTTCGCGTGTAAATATTTAAACAATGAAATGATTATAAAATTCTCGGCAGCGTTGGCCCTCCAATAAATTAAGCCTTTTTTGTCATGGTGCTGGCAATATGTCTCAGCGCTCAATTTAAACAACCCTTTTTGAAATTTCTTTTTTGATCGTTTTGGCGTGGACGCAAAGCCAAAACGAAAGAAAAAGTAGCCATCTTCAAACAAACGTATTGAAACGCATCGGTGTTATGGAGGTGTAAGTAGTGGATCTTAAACCAAATGAACACACACTGTTTAGGTAGCCGACAACAGTAAACAATAATGATTTCTTTCATCAGAATAGATCTAATCGGCCTAAAATTTGTTTTACGAAAAGAAAAGGACAAAGAATAAACTAATACCGTAAGAAAAAACAAAACAAAACTGGCAAAAATGATAACTACTGTAGTGATGATAATTAACGATTATTGCGTTCGAGGTACGAGAACGCAACCCCTAATTTGTGTTGGGTGATCTGTACATTATTGGGTGACCTGTGCAATTAATAAGGGAGGATTTTTTGAGATTGCATTTTCGTTCGTCGTCGTCGACACACATGTGCCTCGCTTTGAGGCGCCTGCTCTACCGAGATGTGAAGCTCGGCGGCGCCATTTGATCATGACTTGTGATATTTTCGGCACTACTGGACAAACGAACACTTTAATTCTATGTTATTTACTAGGAAAAACTTATAAACCAGCCCACAGTAGCGCCACTCACGAGTCACTGAAATCAACACGGTCGAACAAATTACTGGAAAAGTTTAATATTGATGTGAGCCGCACACACATTCCATTGAAGGCTTTGACAGGGTTTGGGCGAAGTTTGAATTGAAAGCTTTTAAAACAGTAAACTCAATTTAATTCATTTTGTCAACAAGTTGATGATTAGGTGCTCTAAAAAATAACAGAGAATATTATCCGAAGAAATGTTTTTTGAAGAAAGAAAAAGAATCCCGGGTTAAGCACTAATCGGCCTTTGAGCAACTGCGCCCTGTAATCGCGCCAGTAAAACAAAATGTTCTATTTACACGCCTAACGCACTCTGGCCAATGTCTCCTCAGATTACAAGCACTTGACACCGAACAATACGACATCTTTTCAAAGCCTTCTTATAATGATAAACAGTTTAAATAGAGGTTTCGCTATACGCAACCCTCACGTTCAAAATATGCCATAATCATATTTATCTATATCGCAACCATCCTTCCCCCTCAACTGCTACCTGTAGGCCTAAAAAACATATCGAACGCACTCTCCTAAGCTCCCATTACTCCTAGTTGAATGAGGTTGAGTATCATCTGAAGAATTATGGAGATCGAGGAGGATAACACCGTCTGAGAATAAATAATAATAAACAATTATTGGATGAGGTTCTTGTGATATCCGGAATAACCTAGGTCGAGGTAAGTGTTATCAGCCCAGCTGAAGGCCGAGGCTGATAACACTTACCGAGAGTTAGCTATCTGCTTGCAGATAACTGACTAATCTGTAGGATGCGTGCGCAATGCGTGATTTACAATGACAATATCAATTCAGTCATTCAGGTTCCTTGCGACGGTGTGTTTGTCTTTATTTTTTCCAAAACAATGTATAACAAAACAATTACTAGATTCGGTTTTTGTGATATCCTGAATAATAAGGTCTCGCTTAGTGTTATCAGCCTCGGCCTTCGGCTTGGCTGATAACACTCACCTCGAGCTTGATTATTCCGGATATTACAAAAACCTCATTGGATAATTGTTTATTATTCATTCAAAATATTTCTCCGTTTCTGATTGGCTAAAATGACACGCAAAATTCATCATAACCAGCTATTGTCCACCAAACTTGAAAGAGTTTTGCGATAAGTGAAAAATGACGTCAATCGTGCAGTAAAATTGCCAGATTATTGAACCGTTAACCGAGAATATCCGTGGACGAGGTTCAGTTGTTTTGGTGGTGACTTCAAAATGGTGGTACATTTCACTCGTTTCACGAGGAAGAAAAAGGCGAACTATTGGATCAGTAATAGAAGTGTTTCAATACGCACCTCAGATGTGGCCAAGATGTCACAAAGGTCAGGAAAGGCAGCAGAATCAGATATGACAGGACTCATATAGACACATAGCGAGCAATGCGTTCCTGAAAACAAGTTAGGGTAATTTAGCTTCACAGAAACTGAACAGTAAAACAAAAAACAAAACAAAAAAAAAAAGACATTATAACGTGTTAAGTACATCCGTTCGTTCTCTTTTTTCATCCATCGTCTTCGTTTTCGAATTTCAACCAGTAATGTAATAACGTTTTGTTCTCCATATTTTGAAATGAAAATGAAAATGTACCAGTCACTGTAATGAAATGAGTAGGTTTTTCCTAAAGGCTCCTCGTCACTCTTCCCACTATTCTCTCTTTTTCACTTAGTAGTAGTAGTAGCGGTAGTGGCAGTGGCAGTGGTAGTGGCAGTGGTAGTGGTAACGGCAGTGGCATTGGCAGTGGCAGTGGCAGTATTGGTAGTAGCAGTGGCAGTGGCAGTGGCAGTGGCAGTGGCAGTGGCAGTAGTGGTGGTGGCAGTGGCAGTGGCAGTGGTAGTGCAGCGGCAGCGGCAGCGGCAGCGGCAGTGGTAGTGGAAGTGCTAGTAAGTAAGTAATATATTGCTTTATTTGCATGACCGCATCATTTTACAGTATCGCAAAAGCATGCTTATGACAATCAAAATATAAAACAAACAGCACTAATAATAATCTAGAAAAATTCAGTTACATTACTAACAATGAATCACGTATTTTCATACAGGAGGAAACAAACTTCATAACTAACTTATTTAAATGAGGTTCCTTCGAATTCATTATCAGTTTTGTGGGTAAGAAAAAATATAGGATCCGAGAAAATTTGGTAATCACGTGACCGTCCGTAGTTAGGGAAGTGCCATTAACATTTTAAGGATTTTCTACGAAAGGTATTTCGAATTTTTGTGAATTCTTGACACTGGCCACTTTCAGGACTGAAAGAGTTAAAATAAGGGGATAAAAATTAGAATTTTCGATTAAAAGCAGACCGAATAAAACCATCCGAACTGAACGTTTTGATGTGTGTTTTGCTTTAATTCCTATAACAGGCCTCGAGATGTTCGTCTGAGAATTTGCTTTTTGTCTTTTTACAAGTAATGCATACAAATGCACGTGGATAGGAAGACATTTGAAAGAAACAGTTCTTTGGAGTAAGGCTGAGTACAAACGGACGCAACATTGTTGGATCTTACATGTTGCGCCCGTTTGCACACCCTGTTGCATGTTGTTGGATGTTGTTGTGTGTTGTTGCGCAAAGTTTGAAATCGGTCAAACTTTTCAGCCAACACTGGCAATACGCGCGCAACAACTCCCAACATTGTTGGCTCAACAATGTTGGGACTGGTGGGCCAACAATAATGCGCCCGTTTGCACAGTGCTAAAAGTTTGACAGGAGTCAAACTTTGCCCAACAACACGCAAGAACATCCAACAAAATGCAACAGGGTGTGCAAACGGACGCAACAAGTAACGTCTATTAACGGTGCGCCCGTTTCCACAGTGCTAAAAGTTTGACAGGTTTCAAACTTTGCGCGAAAACAGGCAAAAACATCCAACAAAATGCAACAGGGTGTGCAAACGGACGCAACATGTAACTTTCAACAACGTCGGGCTTGTTGGCCAACAATGTTGCGCCCGTTTGCAAGGTGCTAAAAGTTTGACAGGTTTCAAACTTTGCGCAACAAAACACAACAGCATCCAACAAAATGCAACAGGGTGTGCAAACGGACCCAACATGTAACATCCAACAATGTTCCGTCCGTTTGCACGCAGCTTAAGGGAATTTGCCTTTTGTTATAAGTTTTGCATACATATGCACGTGGATAGGACAAGAATTGAAAACAGCTCTCTGGGAGAACATCGCATGGTCTGAAATGCGAAGACAAAACTATATACCGACGAACTGAAGTACAGAGTTCAAGCGATTTGGAACATTTTTCTGCTGGATGCTGCTCTTCCAAAGGAATTTTCCACGGTAGCGGTACAAGAGAAAACGAATTACTGGGGAAAACGCCTACTATGCTCATTCAAAATTTTTACGGAATTACATATTGTTAAGTGTGAATTTTCATTTCATACTTTTTTCTTTTGTAAAGACCCGTGCAAACGGACGCAACATTGTTGGATGTTACATGTTGCGTCTGTTTGCACACCTTGTTGCATGTAGTTAGATGTTGTTGCGTGGCTGTTGCGTTAAGTTTGAAACCGGTCAAACTTTTCGGCCAAGAACTCCCAACGTTTCTTTTGTTCCGTGATCGCCGAAGCGTAGCGCAACAATGTTGGATCCGTTTGCACAGCTCTTCCAACATTGTTGGGGCCACGCACGCTCAGTACGCACGGTTTACAAAGACTTATGGGTTGTATCCCTCCCGAGATGCACTGCAGGTCCCAACATTGTTGAGAGTTGTTGCATACGTTTGCATACCACTGCCAACACGCACGCAACAACTCCCAACATTTTTGGCGCAACAATGTTGGGAGTTGTTGCGTCCGTTTGCGCGCAGCCTAACTGTTGAAATATATTTTGGCGCTTTGATGATTTAAAACAGTTCTTGTTTCGTTTAAAAAGAGATTTAACCGGCCAAAGGTTTCTGGTCATTTTAAACCTGAAAATCTTTTGATGAGTTCTGTTGGTTTTGCATGGATTTTTTTGCTCTTTATTGAATTGCAAATTAGCGATATTGCCAGCAATATAGACGCGTATGAGCGAAAACTGCAGCGGGCCTCATACTTTCAAAGGAAAACCGCTTCCCAGGTGTATACTTTTCGTGACCGTGCCCTACCGATCAACCCGGTAAAGAAAACAAAAACCGGCACTGAGATTTAAAATTTTGTGTAATAAATTTGTTCGGAGTGTGAAATCTTTAAATCCAAAATCGATTTTGGGGTTGGGGTTTAAATAAAAATACCCATTATACATTGTTTACAGCTTTGGTGTAGGTTCATAACATGCCCTAATTGTTTACTCGTAAAAAATTCTCAGCAGAGTTTATATAAAAGCAAAGCATTTCTTACCATTTTGTATTGCGTTTCTTCAAGTAACTCAGCAGGTGGGTTCTGTGACCTGATGTATCGCGTTAAAAATACCCTCTTCCCTGCCAGATTGGTAGCCCGCGCCTAGGAAATGGATCCGTGCACACTATGAAGTGAAATTCACAAAAGGTGATGGCGTTCTCTCGTCAAGAGAAAATAAAGACCTGTCAATGTCAGCTAAAGAAACAAAACTGTCTAGTATTAACTTTACCAGGTAACTGGTAAAGTTGAGCTGCCCCACAAACAGACTGTCTACGAATTGTAGTTTGTGCCACGTTAGATCACAGAAAGGCAATTACAATACTTAGATTTTTTTTTTAACAGCAATATCACAAGCAAATTGAAGTAGCAGCAAAACGACACATACAGTATTAGAGATTTATCGTACCTTGTATTCTCGCTTGGGAAATTTTTTCCTTAACCCCTGTAACCATAACCGAGCGTTGTGCAAGAGCTTGTCATCTTCGTTGCTTTCAAACTGGACACAATGAAATGTGCAATTAAAAATAAACGAGAGTAAAACTAATCTTGGTAATTTTGAGGTTGTACGCGCACGAGACTGAATGGGAATGGCTACATGCACGATACTGGACCGTTCTGGGGACGAATGACCCAGTTTCCTACGCAACCTTTTAACAGCCAACAGAGGAAGCGAGATGTCCGTGAAACAGTCCCATAATGTAGGTCGATACTACAGATCCAGTCTCACGCGGAACCCAGCTCAAAATGGTCAACACTCATCATTTTACTCCACATTGGCGTTGACTCATTATGATTCATACACAAAGTAATTCTCTACAGAGGAAAGAACTGCATTGACTATCAATACTGATTAGGTTTAAGCCCTGAGAATAGTGGAATAGTGATTAGGGTTACTTAAGCACTGATCAATACTGATTAGGGTTAAGCCCTGAGAATAGTGATTAGGGTTAAGCACTGACTCGAAAACGGTGAGCTTCTATTAACGGTTAAGGTTGACACTATATACTTCCAACTCAAACCACTTCTTCCAAGGAAATCCTTGGTAGTCTAGGGGTTTGGGTGGTGGACTGCAGGTCCGATGCTCCGGGAGCGAATCCTGCTCGTGTCATCCTGAATTGTTTTTTCCCTAAACTATTGAAGAGACTTAGACATTCATGAACATTTTAGCAAGCAGAAATTTCAAGGGAAATGTCTTGTGAGAGCCACTGAGAGAGAAATGTCAGTTTGGAGTATGGGGATGAGTGCTAACGGCTCAAAATGGCCAATTCACTATTATTTTTTATAATGACATGAGGGGAATTTTCTTTGAAAATTTCAATTGCACTTTAGTCAAATGCTTACTTTTAAATCATATTCACATGACGTATGCATAAATAGCTGGGAAGAACAGTTACATTCTGTGACGTCTAGCGGCAGTGTGAAGTAACGATTTTGCAATTGCACGCGTGTATATTTTATTTAAATAGGTTTGAAATGCCAATTCAAAACAAAAATGTAAGTGGGGAGATATAGGAAGGGTACGTGTGTGAACAGGCGTTATTGCCTGTCTTTTTCATAAAATATATTTTGAAAAATAAATGATATAAAAATTGTGACAAGGCGGCCATGTTCGGGTCAAAACAATGGAATTTTTTCTCAAAAAATTTACATGAAAATAGAGTTTGGTTCCCAGTGAGAAGTGGTTTTGTTCTTGACCATGGCCGCTGTGACGTCAAGCGCAAACTATTCGTGAAATTTCTCGCGCGCAGCCAATTTGTTGTGGATGTCGTTTGATCAATTTTATGGTGAAGAAAAAAATAAATAGTAAGAAATGTAGCTGCAACCAAATAACGTTATACCGTGAATTGCTTTGTTGTGGTTGTTTGTTTGTGACGTGTTAAAAGCGAGTAATCGCCAGTTTACCGTTGGGTTGTCTTTAAAAGGGTAGAGTATCCGATAACCCTTCTTAAAGTCGTGTGTCTTAACTTTGGGGGGCTACATTTGTAAAGGATGTCATAACATTCGTCCTTGATAAGAAGTGTCGAAACCACCATGATGTTGGATAAATCCATTGCCAGTGAAGTTTGCATCGTCCATTGTCCGTTTAGCGCGAGCTAATAGCCCACTTTCGATATATTCAAAATTCTAACATGATGCCGAGGCAATAGGAGCAATATTGCAAATTTTTCACGACTCCATTGTCTCGCAATTCCCAGAAGAGACTTGAGCACAAGAGGACCAAACCAAATATAGAAAAATGACCAGAAAGCCTCGGAGTCATGTTTGAACTTAATATATCGAACGTGGGCTATTCTTGGATGGCGGCCACGTGACAAGGCGGCCATGTTGATGGTCAGTTCAATAAACAATTTTTTGAAGAATTTACCTGAAAATGGAATTTAGCTCCCAGAGGAGAGAAACACTTTTGTTCTTGATCACCATAATTTATTATAACCTGAGATCAGGCCCAATTTTAGCAGCTTCCATACATTCTTTCTTACGTTGTCGCGCTATAATTGGGCCTCTCTTTACGTTTCGCTTTCCCGCCAAAATTTCACTTAAAAAGCGAAACAAAAAGAGAGACTGATCTCAGGTTAAATTGATTACTCACAGCTGACGTAAAACAAAGAAAACAGAACCATCCTTAACAATGAACCTAACCCTGACAATAGTCCATAAAACAAAGAAAACGAATCAACACCGGAGATGAGCCATAAAACCTCTCGAAACATTTTTGCTTTCCTACCTGAGAAAGCTAACCCCTAGCAATTGTAAAAGACCATGACTGAAACAGCCACGGTATATAGATGTAGTAACACATTTCTATGTGATAGTTTATCGTCAACTATTCACATACGAAATCCACGCCAAACAAAAGTGCCCATTTATGATGCGCTTACATTGATGCCATGATAAGGGAGAATAACTTAACAGACTGGATGCAGGGCTGGCAATACGGCAAAGGGCTGATTTATTTGACACCAATATTTAGGCTAACAGAATTAACCTTCCTCAGGGCAAAGCTACACAGAAAGTAGCAGGGTAGCAGGTGTTTGTACCTCAACAAACAGCACAGGCCACTTTGAAGGAAGTGAGCATGAAGAGAAACACAAGACTAAACATCAAGCTTTAAAAATATATTACTCGAAATAAATACGAAATTCTACATGTGTAGTATCAAATGTACCTGTCCGGTAGTTAGTTCCGATATAAGCATCCACCCCATCTGCAATACAGTTTGCCTATGTGCAACCTACAATCTTGGACAGAAGATTGTAGGTACTACCAAACCCCGCCCTGGTCAAAGTTTAACAACCGGGATCAGAAATGATCCAGCGGGACTTCAATACTGTTTTTGTGGGGTAAAGGGGGAGTATTTGTTATTGTTAGAGCTTTTAAGAGCCTTATTGAAACTAGACATGGTAAAGTCCATTATTCTTAACATTTTTGTCCAAGATTGTAGCTTCGATCACTAACCAAACCCAAAAATGTGCTTTTAATATGAACATCTCGAGAGGTAAAAATAGTCTCATAAACGTGACCGTGATAAATTCTCAAAATTACTTGTATTATGCTATTAACACCGATTCATCTTTTTACATTCCGAAGAACTTGCCCTACAAACGAAAAGAGAGGATCGACGTGAAATCGACTAAAATTATGTAGGCTCACTCTCCGCGTTTCGGAAGCGTGGGAAAATTTAAAGCGAAAGTTAGGGCAATAAAAATGAAAGGAAAATTCGCCACTTTAGCATCGAGAAGGAACAGGAGCCGAAATGCGTCACGCAATTGTGTCTGGGATCGTTACTAGGGACGCGCCGGCCAGTCTCTAGGAACAGTCCCAGAAGTCATTGCGAAAGTTAACTTGACCCAGTTTCCGTCGCGTTTCTACAGTAGCGACGTATTAACTTGTTAGCTTAATAGCCAGCTTTTCTCCTAAGCGTCCCCACATAAATCCAAAGAGAAAACACGCCCTGCGGGTAAGGATGAACGTGCACGGCGAGGGCGAATTCTACATCAGGATCTTCTATTGCGTGTACTCCAGTGCTGAAGACGGCTTCAGATACAGGGGGAATTTCAGTGAATGACATGTTGATAGGAAATCCAGACAACTGAAAACATCAAAACGATTTGATCAGAAAGGAAGTTCATCTCTGACTCATATTCTATATATTCCGCTAAATGACTGTCTAAAAAGACAAAAACAAACGACCGAAACGAACGCCTCATAATTGTATTAAACAATAAGAGTCATATTTACCTTGTATGAGGCGAGAATTTGGTCCAACTCAGCAGCGTGATTCACAGAGGTAGCTTGACTAACACTCTGTTCCATACTATGAAAGAAAACAAAATACAAGAAATAACGAGCTCAACCTCAGTAAGAGAGAAAATACGTTAATAAAAAGAGCATTGTTGATGTTCTTGGTCTAGACAAGACATCTTAGACTGAAAATGTAACCAAACTATGGCAATGTTTTAAGAAGTAAAAATACTAATTAGTTCATTGAGAATGAAACTTTTACTTTTAACAGGATACAGCCCAGTGTAAATTATTACGGTGCTAACCAGTAACTTGCTGGACTAGCTTAAACGGGGGTCCAAGCGTATACTGTGATTTACTTGGGTACCGTTGAGCCCTGCCTGTTAAAACAGCCTCCTTTTAGAGACGGTGAGCAATGAAAGGCGACTGTAGTCGATGGTTTTTCGTTGTGTTAAGTTGGGAAATAAAGAAGATTGAAAGAAATAAGCGTTTAAACACCAGGGCTAAGACTCAATCCTACTCACTTTGCCAACAGGCTCCGAAAGGCTTGTGTGCAATACCTGACAAAGAAAGAAAATTATTCATCCCGGCAGTTATTCCCTGTTTAACGGGTGCAAGGAAGAACTGAATTGAGATCAAATAAGATCATATAATTTAGGGAAGAAATGTGAGAAAACAATCCCTAACTACAGGTAACAGTGCCGACGAATCAAATCACAGTTAAACAGGGCTATGCTCTGGCAGCACCTGGCATCCCCTGAAACCTTACTTTTGCTCTTGGGGGACTAGGAAATCCTTTCATAGTGGAGCCTCCAATACTATAGAAATCGGAAACTTAGCGATGGGAGAAAATTTGGGGGTAGGGAAAAGGACGTGGGAGCTCAAGTCAGACAGCTTGCGTTTAGCTTGGCGAAAAGTTAACCAGTTCACCTAGAGGGAGCCAATGGAGTTGTTTCAGTAGAAATCTTGCAGTCTCTTTCGTTTGACTTACCCCCAAAAAACTTTCACAAATATATTTTAAGCTAGGTCACGCTTTTGGTTTAAAAGTTAATATAGGAGTCAGTGTAGGTGTTTGGAGGTGGTTTGGGTGATGTAGATGGGAAGAATTCTCGTCCAAGCCTACTTTTTATACTGCGATCGAACTTGATGCATAATTATTATTCTTTGCCGTTAACATTATAAGACTTTTAGCTTGTTGGGAGAGTTTCTTCATTTCGGGTGTGTTTGCGGAATATTTTTTTCTAAATTAACAGCCCCTCCTTAAATAGTAAATGGAAGGGACTTCAAGATTTCTTTTTAGTGGCTAAGAGTTTATTACATTAAAGTTAATTGCTTTCATTATAAGTTTCCTTTTATTATAAGTATAAAAACGGAGGTTTCACTTTTAGCCCTGGCTAAATCTGTATATTAAAGAATCATATGCTGGCCACCCTGGAATGATACTGCTAATACTTGTACCCTGAAGAAGGCAGCATCACCGAAACGTCGGTTAAGACTCTTTTGAACAGCGTCGACTTTACAATTTTCAAATTAACTTTAATATTACGAGGGCTATATGTTACGTTATTTGCCATCTTTTTAAAAAGCGAAACGTGTCGTCGCATCAATTGTTTCCCAAACATAATGGTCCAGTTTTGTTATATAAGACAACATTTAGGCAATGAAACTGTTGCCTGCCGCCTGTTGCTACGCATGGCAGGAATTGACATGGATTGAAGGCAATTTTTTTTTTCAAGTTTTAATGCCTGTAAAAACCAGAAACACTATCATGGTTACTAACGCGCGGCTCCCTTGTGAAATTTGTTTGACATCTTCATGGAAACTATACAGGAGCAATTTGTGTATTGTTACATAAAGACACTAATCAATGACCTTAGCACAGAATTGACCTAAAACATCAATATCCCCGCGATATAGCATTAGGCCCTTTAACTTTAAGGGAAAACGTGGATTGAAGCCACTTGGTTTGAAGGAGGAGAGAAACGGCTTGGTCTCGATAAAGAATGATCCTTTGAAGAGAATAATTTAGGTGTTCGAACAGGGGGGAAGATAGTGTAACCATTTTAGAATCTAGACAGTACATACAACACAGTACCTGTTCCATCGTGTCACAAAGCGAGGACGCCATGACATTACTTTATCCCGAAGAATCTTCTCGATCCTTAAATAAAATAGATGAAGCTCAGGTTAAAAGAACGACGTACAAATACGAAACGGAAAGCAGTTAAGAAAACTAGGAGAGAAGGTCACTAATGACAAACTAATCCACAGTTCACCCACTTTTCTTGCAGTCCTGTGACAAACTCTTGATCCACGCGCTTGTACTCAAGAACTTCTCTCTGCAGAAGTACATAAAATAAATATGTTAAGCCCAGCGCCAACGCCAGCTAAAGAGTGCGCTATTAAATCTAACGATGATATAACCATTTAATCGGACTAGTTATTTAACAATTATTCCTCGAACCCGAATGGGCTCTGAGTCCATAGCCCATGAGGCCGAAGGCAAAAATATCGGGAATAAAAAAAATTTAGCTACTTTAAGCTAGACTTTAATCCTTTTTTGCCGCCAAAAAGCGCGCGCTTTTCGCGGCTAGTGGGCTATAACATATAGCCTAGTAGTAGCTGAACCAATGAGAACGCAGCATTGATAATAGACCTCTAGTTGGATTTTACTGAAACGAATTACCTAATAAGGAAGTACATATACTTACAGTTGAATTCGGTACTCTGAGGGTCAGAACATTAACATTAGCCCCATATTCGTCAACCAATACGGTTACCTGTCATTTTTTTCTCTCTTTTTTTACTGAGCACTTTTCTTATTTTTATAGAATATACTCAGTACATAGACACTATCGCCTGCTGAAGACCCGCAGTACGCGGTCGAAACATCGCGATCAATATCTATGTGACAATCGTGAGACAAACGATTAACGAAACTCTTTATACAAATTATCCACGATGAACAATATCTTTCATGAAATAGACTAATCCCTGTAACAAAGAATTGAGCTTCGTTAACGTATTCCTATTGATATTTTTAGGTATTATTACGTACATACAAGGTGCACCTACTCCTAAACGAGTATGGCAACCACCCCCAACCCCCAACTCTTGTTTTTATTTCGTAAATTTGACTTCCTGTGAGATAAACAACCAACAGGCTGAGTTTGATCCAAAAAACAGAGGAATGATCTTAAATGAGTTAAAACATCTGCGGCGTTCAAAAGGATTTGAATCAACATGCAAGACCCGTTAGGGCTTGTTTACATGGAGGCGGGGGACCTCAGGTAGATGAGGTAGCCCCCTCCGATAGGGTAACCCGCCTGTCCATATAATCTCTCATACGGCCACCCCACCTATGATGTAAAGGTGACCGAATTAAAACAATAGATCTTATGGACAGGCAGGTTAACCCACCTAAGCGGGTTACCTCACCTACCTCCACCTCCATGTAACCAGGCCCTTAGTCAGCATAAACACGAAATGGTGAAACTGTACCTGGTTACTAGGCATGGATGGCCTTGGGTACGACTTAGTAAAGAAAGGCTGCCAGCTGCCGGTTTTTGTTAAATCAAACAGGAGACGGTATGGTTCCTCAGACACCTGAACATTAGCCCAGATCTAACAACAATGATTAAACACAGGTTAATTAAACACGTGCTTAACAATAGAGAAGAAAATAACAGTTTCATGAGGACAAATAAATAGAAAACTGCTCGGCTGAACAGTTTTTAAAACCCTCGGTTGCAGTTCATATTGGTCTTCTTCAATTTTGGTGATCCGTTTCTTCTCTTACAGCTGCTATTTTAATACATGCTATTTCGCTCGTCAAACAAGTTAGTTTTCTATTTTGCTCAATTGGTGACCAGCTTCCATTATGACACAACTTCTTTAAAGTGGATAATAAAACAACCAAAGAAACTTAATGTACAAATTATCATGGTTTCGTTCTCCCTCGGACACTTTGTTTTGCGCAAAGACAATAAAGCTGTTTTAAAATCAGAGATAATGATGTTATCACTCCAAAGTTGACCTGCCTCGATTTTAAATTGCTTCTCAAATCACTACAGTCCAGTTGTCAAGCGTGCCCACCAATATTCTTCTAATGAAATGGATATTTAAAAGTTGAATTCGTTATTAGCGGTAGATTTCAATTTCATCTTTTTCATTCCAGCACGCGTGATGAGCAGTAAATTCTCACACGAGGTAGTTATGAGATTTCTGCCAACTCAGTTTTCTTAAACTTGACATGAACGTCTTCATAACAATTTAGTCAATTCAAAGATTTTTTCAACCTGACCGAATACTGAGGAGATGTGGTAAAAACCGAATTCACTGCTCATCACCCATGCATCAGGAATGAAGGTTTGAGTTTCACACTAGTTGGCCAACGTCGAAGGGATTCATTTTTCACATCATCAATTCAGCAATGGACTCTATGGGGGAACACTTGACCTGGCTTGACTGTAAAACCAGAAATAAGCTGCGTGGTGCGTACATTTTCGTGATTAAAGACACATCCGATACTCTTTAAAGGACAGTTAGCATCCTGCACGTCATATTTCTGCCCTGTGTGGGCATTCCAAAGTAACGGAGACCCATCCAAGGTAAGAACATAGGCGGTGGAACCTTAAATACAACAATAGCAAAAACACGCGTTGATGTGTATGTTCCAACGTGAAAGAGATAAGGACTATGGTTTAAATAGCGATTGGGTTGACACTAATTTGTTCTAATACTATATTACGAGCTCTTTAGGGAAATCGGAAGTCGCGTAATGAATACACCGACAAGAATTCTACTTAACATAAATCACATCTTTATAAAGCTGAAGGTAAAAAAAAAAAAGATGCACAGCCTTTTTTGAATTAGTCCTGTCGCCAACTTTTATGGTTCCTTTAAAATTTGTCCAGTTAGCAATCCTCATACTCAAACAATTGGAGCTTACAACAAGGAGTTAATTTTCATTTAATTAACTAATAATAAATTAATTAATAATGAAACAAAAACAAAGGCATAAACGAAACAACAACGAAAAAATCTACATTACAAACTAAGTGACGGTGATGAACCTTCTCTCAGAGGGGCAGGGATAGCAAGAGAGGGGAAGGTAAGGAAGAAATCATGGTGGTGGTAACTTCTGATGACAAACAAAATATTAATCCCCCTGTTGAAACATTTTACCAGTGGTTATCACTTTGTTGGAGGCACAAACCTTCTGGTATCCCTCTTCCAAGGGCGACATAAGCTGCCTTGCCAATATGCAGAAAGTAGTTGCAGAGCAAAACAGCGTGTTCCTCCTCGTCTCCAGCCAGCATGCGGAGGAATTCCTACGAGAAAAAGAAACAAAAATGGGAATAGAACACAGATGTTCTATTTAAGCATGTTTCAAGCAAGTTCCATATTTAAGGCGAGCAGCAAAAGAACGCGCGAGGCGACGAAGCCACGAGGAGCAGAGCGCGTCTCCCTTCGCGCGCTGCTCTCGGCTGACTTCCCATTACTTCCATATATGGAGAACTTGCTCGCACGCTAGTTTTAACTGTGCTTTCTTGTATGGTGCCTTCATAACTGATTGACTTTGAAATCGAAATTACAATCAGATATTAAACAAAAAATTTACCGATTAACGAATTAACTTTCTGTTCTCTTCGAAACAAGTTGGGTGAATGAAATAAAACAGAAAGGGTTTGGATCATGTTCACGGCAAACTACAAACATCAATTTGTACCACGTGATCAATCTTTTCCTTTGTTTTTGTTGTTGTTTACTGTTCATTACTTCTATACGAAACTAAACAACTTTTCTCTTGCTATTTTTCTCTTTCTATTTGTTTACTTCCTAGTTCAAAAATTGTCAACTCTAATCTGACGTTTGCCGTTTGCTGAAAACGCGAGTCGAAATCTCTATACCCTGCTCCATATCCATAATTCTTCAGATGATACTCAGCCTCATTAACTAATTGTTAATTATGTATCGCTGGCCTCATAGGTTTCATCTCAAATTTTCGTGCGCAAACACTCACTAGAACACGTAACTATTTTTTTTCCGGTCAGAGTAAGTGTCCATTTTCCCCTTTTTGCCAGGTGCAAAACGAAGGCGTCATCTTGGCTTAAAATACATTAAAGCTCCTCAGTTTAAGTTGTGTCTAAAATTGTCCAGGGAAATAATATCGCTTACTGCCCTCAAAAGCACGCACGGAGCCCAATGACGATTAACCGAAGCCTAGTGCAATACTGCGCAAAATTTTTGTCTGTTACCAAATTTTATCCTCTGCAGAATTCTATGCCACGTCTTTCTTTCACTAGATCATTTTTTTCAACCGCCACGGTGAAAATATAATTCAACCGTGTTTTTATGCATGGCAAAACCATCTGCTATACATATACCTAATCATCAGCCAGTTCAGTAAATATAAAGCTATGAACTAATTGGGTCTTAGTGTGTTTTAAAGAAACAGCGAGAAATAACTTACAATTTGACACGTCACAAGGCTACTGGTTCTTTTTTGTAGATCAATTCTTCGCTGAAGTCATTACTTACTACCTTAAACCATACATAAAATGCTTCTGTTGAGTTATGAAGTAGACATCAAACAAATTTCATCGGTGAGCTGTAACCATAATGATATTTTTGGCGATTTTTTCAGGCGTGGAATTTAAACTTGAAAAAGCTGGCCCAACTTTTTAAAGATTCAATCCATGAACATCCTTGCCATCCGTTGCAACAGACGACAGGAAACAGTTTCTTTACCTTAACATAGACTTAAATATCAAAACTGGACCATTGTTTTTAGAATTTAATTGATGCAAAAAAAATTATATACACATATATTTTGTAGTTAATTTTTTTATCTCAGATAATTTTCTTTTTTTTTTCTTTTTGGGTATGGTAATGTTGCTAATGAAGTTGAAACAAAGAAAAAAAATAAAAATTACCTGAGATAAAAAAATCACTACAACATACATAGAGCGATTTTCGTATGACCTTGAAAAATGGTTTCAGGAAGTGTTCGTTATTTGTTTTATCAGCCAATGGATGAAAAGATAAAAACATGGACTCTTCGTTTTCCCGCCAAAGAAAAACCTAATATGGAGAAGGTATTGCTCGATTGACCATTCGAGTTGCATCATGACGTCAAAGCGAAGTATCGGTTGATTTCCAGAAAGTTCTCAGGCATGACATTTTTTCACCTGAGCGTTCGCTTGACCATAATAACCAACCAAAAGCCACGCGCGTGTGCATCCGTTCGATAAACCAATCAAATCGCTCTATTTCCGTTCGTTTGTTGTTTCTGTTTTGTTCGCCTGTTTTTATTTCAAGGTAATGCGAAAATCGCTATCGTGGCATAGCCTTTATGTAGATACTAACAAAGTTACACCTTACTTAAAAAATATCTTTTTGGCTTATAACTATTGGTCATTTCTTTATGGCGCCAGAACCCTACATTGAGGTGACTCTTTTGACTATAGTATTTAATTATGCGCTCTAATTCATTCGTCTTTGATCAAGGCAATAGATGATATTTACTTAACAAATTGCAGTTTGGCGTGCTGTTAAAACAGCATCTTAAAACTTCTGGATATCACACCTGTCTATAGTAGTCTGCCGACATGAACACCACAGTGAATGAACCGGACTGCTCAAGTCAGCTAAATTCTACAGCAGAAAAGGTCGGGCAGACCTTTGCTTACTGCATAATCCTTGTGCTTTCTTTAGTCGGGAATTCCTGCCTTGGAATAATTGTGTACACAACACAAACTATGAGGAAACCGATAAATTATTTCATTACAAACATGGCCATGTCCGACTTGCTGTTTTCAATTTTCTTTTTTCCAAATAAAATAGCCCTGTTATACAAGGGACAGTCATGGCTTGTTGGCAGTGGCTTTGGTCAAGCAATGTGTAAATTGCTTCCTTTCTTGTCCGACACGTCCACCATTGTTTCCGTTCAGAGTCTGATTCTGATAGCAGTGGATCGATTTGGAGCTGTGTTATTTCCCCTCCGTTCTCCACTCATCACGTCAAGACTGTGTCCCTTCTTCATTCTCGCCACATGGGTTATTGCCATGGCTTATCACTTGCCATATTTATTTGTCCACAAACTGGTAGAATACCAAGGGAAGCTAACTTGTAAAATGCTTTGGAAAGAGACTTTTGGAGACTCCTCGTCGCTTGCAAACTACTTCTTGGCAAGATTCATTGTATTCTTTTACCTGCCGATTGTCTTGTTAGCGATGCTGTACTCCAAGATTTTTGTCAAACTCAGATCACAAGCGCATCCAGGTGAGCAGTCGACCAACGCTGAGGAACAACGCACCAGAATAAACAACAGCGTGCTAAAGATGGCCATTGCTATTGTTTTAGGTTTTGTGATATGCGGGGTGCCTTTCACTGTCAGTGTCTTGCTCCAAGTGTTTGCATGGAACCGTTCAATTCCTTGTAGTGCAGCACACTACGTGACATTCACAAGGTTTTTAGCCTACACAAATTGTGCTATAAAGCCTCTTATCTGCTTCATTTTTAGTAGCAACTATCGTCAGGGTCTGAAAAGACTCATCCACTGTTTTAGCAGTGCTGCAGTACTTCCAGCTTAAGATTATTGCCCAACTGAAAAGTAAACTGAGAAGCGAAACTGTGGGCAGCCTCTTGGAATGATCGTGCGAGTGAGTAAATTGAGCGAGGCGAACACTAACAAGTACATTTGTTGCTAGCAAAGTAACAACAATTGGGGATGCCGAAGGTGACAAGGACTGCAGTTTAAGCTTTCGTTCCCAACCGCATGCCTCTACGGTTTGCTTTTTCAAGGTATAGATCAAGTAAAAAATTATCAGATTAAAAAACTACAAAAGTCTTGTGTGGACGGACAACCAGGAATTGATATTCTTCCAAGATACCTTTAGAAACTAAAACAACAGTCAGCTGCAACAGTTTTTAATTATCAGGAAAAGAAAACTTAAGTATCGTGTTGAAAATTAGCTTCCTTACCGGGACAAATAAATAAATCGCTATCATTTAATACCGGCTATGAAAAAGTCCAACATCTTTTAGACTTACATGTAGGATTAAACTACTAATCCTAACTCCTTTTAAGAACCAAGACAAAACATCAAGTCCGAATCAAGCTTTTGAAATTAGCAAAAAGATAGTAATTTTACACCCCAATTTCCACGCAAATAACATGATATCTGACACGTACACAGATAATGATCTTGAATCTCGAGTTGTGTCTCTCGTCAATAGCGTAACGTTGAAATTTTAGTCAAGAAACGAAAATTACCTCCTTTTTATCCAACCACTCGAAAGCAGCTCTTGGATTTTCGTCTGCTAAACGCCCTTAAAAGCAGACTGTTATCTACTTTGAGCTCTGTCATTTCAAGCAAGACTGCGAAGTTCGCATGTAAATATTTAAACACTGATAAGCTTATGAAACATCTCGGCAGCGTTGGCCCTCCAATAACTTAGACCTTTAATTTCATGGTGCTGGCAATATGTCTCACCACTCAATTTAAACAACCCTTTTCGAAAACTTTATTACGTTATTGATCGTTTTGGCGTTGAGGGAAGGCCAAAACGAAAGAAAAAGTAGCCATCTATACAAACAAACGCATTGAAGTATCGGTGTTATCAAGGTGTAAGTAGTGGATCTGAAAGCGAATGAACACACAATACTGTTTAGGTAGCCGGCAATAGTAAACAATAATGATTTGTTTCATCGGAATAGATCTAATCCGCCTAAAATTTGTTTTGCGAAAAGAAAAGGACAAAAAAAACCAATATCGCAAGAAAAAACAAAAGAAAACAGGCAAGAATGATAACTACTGAAGTGATATGATAATTAAAAATTATTGAATAAGGGTGAGTATCATCTGAAGAATTATGGAAATCGAGGAGGATAACACGTCTGAGAATAAATAATAAAAAACAATTACTGGACGAGGTTCTTGTGATATCCGGAATAATCCGGGTCGAGGTAAGTGTTACCAGCCGAACCGAAGGCCAAGGCTGCTAACACTTACCGAGAGTTATCAGCTATAACTGACTAATCTGTAGGTTGTGCGCGCAAAGCATGATTTACAATAACAATATTAATTCAGGTTCCTTGCGACGGTGTGTTTGTCTTTATTTTTTCCAAAACAATGTATAATAAAACAATTATTAGATTCGGTTTTTGTGATATCCTGAATAATAAGGTCTCGGTAAGTGTTATCAGCCTCGGCCTTCGGCTCGGCTGATAACACTTACCTCATCCAATAATTGTTTATTATTCGTTCAAAATATTTCTCCGTATCTGATTGGCTAAAATCACACGCAAAATTCATCATAACCAGCTTTTGTCCACCAAACTTGGAAGAATTTTGCGATATGTGAAAAATGACGTCAATCGTGCAGTAAAATTGCCAGATTATTGAACCAATAACCGAGAAGATCTGGGGACGAGGTTCAGTTGTTTTGCTGGTGACTTCAGAATGGTGGAAAATTTCACTCGTTTCACGAGGAAGAAAAAGGCGAACTATTGGATCAGTAATAGAAGTGTTTCAATACGCACCTCAGATGTGGCCCAGATGTCACAAAGGTCAGGAAAGGCAGCAGAATCAGATATGAAAGGAATCATAGACACATAGCGAGCAATGCGTTCCTGAAAACAAGTTAAGGTAATTTAGCTTCACAGAAAGTGAACGGTAAAACAAAAAACAAAACAACCCCCAAAAAAAACATTATAACGTGCTAAGTACACCCGTACGTCTTCTTTTATTGTTCGTTCTCTGTTTTCATCCATTTTACCAGTCACGGTGATAAAATGAGTAGGTTTCTCCTAAAGGCTCCTCGTCACTCTTCCCACCATTCTTTCTTTTCCGTTTAGTAGTAGTAGTAGCGGTAGTGGTAGTGGTAGTGGTAGTGGTAGTGCCAGTGCCAGTGCCAGTGGTAGTAGTGGCGGTAGTGGCAGTGGTAGTGGCAGTGGCAGTGGTAGTGGTGGTGGTCGTGGTTATTGGCAGCGGTAGTGGTAGTGGCAGCGGCAGTGGTAGTGGTAGTGGTAGTGGTAGTGGTAGTGGTAATAGTAGTAGTAGTAGTATTAACGGAGCATCATGGGTAAGAAAAAATGTCGGATCCGACAAATTTTTGATAATCACGTGACCGTTCGTAGTAAGGGAAGTACCATTAACCGTTTTAAGGATTTTCTACGAAAGAGATATTTTGAATTTTTTTTTTTTAATTCTTGACATTGGCCACTTTCAGGACTGAAAGGATTGAAATAAGGGGATAATAATGAGAATTTTTGATCGAAAGCAGACCGAATAAAACCACCCGAACTGTTCCCGAACTGAACGTTTTGATATGTGTTTTGCTTTAATTTCCATAAAAGGCCTCGAGATGTTCGTCTGGGAATTTGCCTTTTGTCTTTTTATAAGTTATGCATACATATGCACATGGATAGGAAGACATTTGAAAGAAACAGTTCTCTGGAGTAAGGCTGAGTACAAACGGACACAACATCTCCCAACAATGTTGCACCCGTTTGCACGGTGCTAAAAGTTTGACAGGTTTTAAACTTTGCACAACAACATGCAACAACATCCAACAAAATGCAACAGGGTGCGCAAACGGACCCAATATGTAACATCCAACAATGTAGAGAGTTGTTGACCAACAATGTTGCGCCCGTTTGTACGTAGCTTAAGGGAATTTGCCTTTTGTTATATGTTATACAAACATATGCACGTGGATAGGACAACATTTGGAAGAAGGAGAACATCACATGGTCTGAAATGCGAAGACAGAACTGTATAGTGACGAACTGAAGTACACAGTTCAGGCGATTTGGAACATTTATCTTCAGGATGCTGCTCTTCCAAAGGGATTTTCCACGGTAGCGGTACTAGAGAAAAAGAATATTACTGGGGAAAAGCCTACTATGAGCATTCAAATTTTGTACGGAATTTCAGATTGGTAAGTGTGAATTTTATTTAATACTTTTTCCTTTGTAACTGGTGTAATATATTTTGGCGCTTTCATGGTTTAAAACAGTTCTTGTTTCGTTTAAAATGAGATTTCACCGGACAAAGGTTTCTGTTCATTTTAAGCTGAATATCGTTTGAAGAGTTCTGTTGATTTTGGGTGGATTTTTCACTCTTTATTGAATTGCAAATCAGCGATATTGCCAGCAATATAGACTCGTATGAGCGACAACCGCGGCGGAGTGGAGCGTGAATTCTTTAAATCCAAAATCGATTTTGGGGTTTTAGTGAAAATACCTATTACACTGTTTACAGCTTTGGTATAAGTTGATAACATACCCTAAATGTTTACACGTAAAAAAATTCACAGCAAAGTTTATATAAAAGGTAAGCATGTCTTACCATTTTGTACTGCGTTTCTTCAAGTAACTCAGCAGGCGGGTTCTGTGACCTGATGTATCGCGTTAAAAATACCTTCTTCCCAGCCAGATTGGTCGCCAGCGCCTAGGAAAAGGAGTAGTACACACATATGAGCAAGGATATGGAGTTAAATTCACAAAATAAAAATGATGGCTTTCTCTCGTCAAGAGGAAATAAAGACCTGTCAATGTCAGCTAAAGAAACAAAACTGTCTAGTATTAAATTTACCTGGTAACTGGTAACTAGTAACTGATAACTGATAAAGTTAAGCTGTCCCACAAACAGACACTGTACGAATTGTAGTTTGTGCCACGTTCGATCACAGAAAGGCAATTACAATCCTTAGACTTGAGGGCGAATAGCAATATCACAAGCAGTTTGAAGTAGCAGCACAACGACACATACAGTATTAGAGATTTATCGTACCTTGTATTCTCGCTTGGGAAATTTTTTCCTTAACCCCTGTAACCATAACTGGGCATTGTGCAAGAGCTTGTCATCTTCGTTGCTTTCAAACTGGACACAATGAAATGTGCAATTAAAAACAAACGAGAGTAAAACTATTCTTGGTCATTTTGAGGTTGTGCGCGCACGAGACTGAATGGGAATGGCTACATGCACGATACTGGACCGTTCTGGGGACGAATGACCCCAGTTTCCTACAAAAGCTTTTAACAGCCAAGAGAAGAAGCGAGACGTCCCTGAAACAGTCCCATAATGCAGGTCGACACTACAGATCCAGTCTCACACGGAACCCAGCTCAAAATGGTTAACACTCATTTCCTTACTCCAAAATGGCGTTGACACATTATGATTCATACACAAAGTAATTCTAATCTGTCAATTCCGCAGTCGCAAGTCATTTATGGAGGTTTGATATGGCAAAGGTGATTGATAGTTATCACGTGCACCAAAACTTCTTCAATTTAAACAATTTACGATATCTCTCCATCAGTGCCCCATTTTAAGGGTATTTAAGTCACTTAAAAGTACACGGAATTCGGAAAGGAAAGAAGTCGAAATAGGAATTTGAGATCCAAGCTGGAAATTCATAACTCAGTAAAATCTCGCGCAGAAAACCGCAAGCTGTGAAAATAATTGCTTCTGAAGTCCGTCCCAGACATAACAATGATAACTCAAATCAAGGTACTAACCCTCTCTGCCAATGGTTGGGACGGTTGTAACGGCGGTTCAATTGTGACAAACAAGGTAAGAAGAGTGTCATTTCTGGCGATTATTCCCAGATCTCCTGCTCCTGAATGTCGTCCCCGTTTGTGATAGCCGAGCAGGACTGGCGGCGTATTCACACGGAATGTGCCTTCCACCTGAAGTCAAAAGACATCACTTACATTGTACCTATAATCTTAATGGAAGGTCGACGTTGAACCAAGGGGTGCTTACCATTTACAGAAATCACTCGTATGAAAGTCTTGTGCATATCCACAAAATTTTAAAATATGATAAGGTCGGAGAACGAACCGCTCTAAACTAAATTCGAATCAGCTGAACAGACTAGGAAGAGTAGAAAAATTGCATCGCCTCAAATCACAGCCCATATTTTCTTAAGCTTCCCGAACGGAATGGCACGTACCATTTGATTTTCCATCGGGAATTTCCAGTTTTCTCATGTAAATGATAGGTATCCCTTTGAGATTCGAACGGACGCCAAATAATGTCAATCAATTTAAAATCAACCAAAAGGAAAATGCTCAGTGCAATTATTAGGAGCCAAAGAGAGATTAACACGAGATCGCGTTCGGCTAGATAAAATCGATTGTGAAGGTTAAAACACCGTGCTCTTACAAAGCAACATTCTTATCATTACTCAACATCAATCATCTGAACTGCTCAGTAAAGCAGAATAAATAATCGTGGATTACCTTGTTATTGAAATATACAGTAGAGAAAGGAATCTCGATGCTGCCCAGCCAGTGTCGCTCGAGACGTTGATGGATGTTTGTGGACTGCTGTCGATCATCCTGATAATGAAAACCAAAACTACATGTTAAACAATTGACACTTTGTTTGACGTTAGTTTGGTCAACGAGTGTGTCACCCTCTCCAAACATCAATTGTTTTTAAACTTGAGCAACAAAAAAATAAATGGTTTAACTTCGTTCCATTCTTTTGGTGAAACAATTCCATTTTTCCATTTGCTAATACAAACTGCAATCAACTTACCCTAAACCTTCCTGCGATATCTAGAAGTGTTTGTCTAGTATATGAAGTTGCGAGAAAGAAATCCTTACTTGCAAAATGTTAAATATGACTTCATCGAACAGATTAAGATAGACCACGTCGTTAACAGTTTGGAGTGTTTCAGGCGAATAGTCATTGTTAGGCGCTCTGCAAAATAATAATAGAAAAAAAATAAAGAATTGTAATTATAGTTACTTTACTCACTTGAGTAACGACGTTACGTGACTACAACAAGTAGAATGCTTCAGGATTTTATTTTTCATTGCAAATCAGTACCACTGACATTTTAACTGGTTAGCACAGAAACAAAAATTAACTGTTTCAGACGTAAATAGTCTACAAGTATATGAATACACACGTAAACGGCAGTATAAGCTCCTCATTCCAACTTGGATTTGGACCGTCTGCAACCGTAGTCCTGGAAAAATTTCCCTGGAAAACGGCTTCCACAAACGGGCGGACTTGTGACTGTGGAGAATAACGAGAGAGAGAAAAAAATGAAATAATGTCAGAACTGCCCGCAAGGAAGGGGGTAGGGGAGTTCT